TATGGTCTGCTGGGGTAATAATATAGTGTAAAGCGCATAGAGCCTGCTGTTGAGCGGGGATTTGCGCTATACAAATGCTATCTATTATTATTATGTCACATATCTCCATCTTCTCCTTCTAATGGTGGCGTTGAAATACTCAATTCCAACTCTTGTACGTTTCATTTTGTTAATAATTTTTTCCTTGACATATAATTTGAAAGCTCTTCGATTTTCATGGAATTATTGAATTCTTTTGTTTTCGATGTTTCTAAGCTATACATCAGTACCGCCTAAAATATTGCTATATATAATAAATCCATTACAGGTTTACGTCTTCCACATGATGTTCTTTGAATGGTAAAATGCTTCTTTTTTTAAAAATCCTACACTAACCCATATCTGGGGCTGATAAGCCAGTTTCTGTATTTGACTGTGTCGGGAGTCACTGTGTTGGGAGTCAATGTTTTGCTACCAAAATACTACCCTTTTGGGCGCTCTTTCTATTTATTTATCCGAACTGCATAGGTTGAACGCTCCTTGCAACACTGCAAGGCTATTTCAGATGCTGAACCTCTGAATTTAATGTTCATCTTCGATAAGACCCATCTAAATGCGAAAATTCGTGTAAATTATTTTTACCAATGACCCAACATCAGACCAAGCTAAGCCTTACAGCTCTTTGTATGTTGCCCAGTAAGAAGAGATGAATTGAGCATGGTCGTTCTGTGTTCTTTGAATGTCGAGGAGCACAATCGACCAAATTCAAACAGATTGTAAAGAACAATAAAGCTACTGAGTCAGAATTGTTGTATAAGCAACAATTACGACAACGAATTCATGTAATCGCTAAATGAATAAACGACCCGTTATACTTGTAAGAATGTATGGCAATGATAAAAGAAACATCAAAAACGTCACAACACAAACTTTGATTTGGTTATTTGCAACCTCAGTAAACATACACTTGACATAAAATATCATTTTTCATTTGTCTGTTCAATTTATTATTCCTTAAATAAAATTGGATAGAAAATGTGTTTTACGAAGGAGAATGCTGTTCAATTCTTTGTCGAAACGATGACAAAAAGAATTGATCATCAAGGGAAAAAATAGAGGAGGGAAGGGGGAATGTTTTATGAGTCGTTTTAGGGTGACTTTGCACCGAAAAAAAACCAGTAATTGAAAAAAAAATTCTTGCACAGCCGTGGCCTGATCCCATTGCACTACAGTCCGAGGTATGTGTGTGTGTGTGTGTGTGTGTGTGTGTGTGTGTGTGTGTGTGTGTGTGTGTGTGTGTGTGTGCGTGTGTGTGTGTATGTGTGTGATTTCAGGGACTCTCCTGCAGGTGTAGTGTTCATCACCTCTGACCTCGACCAATGTCGTCCTTGTATGTCGATCCGCTAGGTTTTTAGAACATCTTGCCCGTTTAGACGGTACGCTTGGCATTCTTCAGGACGAGTCTCAGGTTGCGGATGAGCCTGCTCATCTCATCACCACCTTGTGGGGAAGGTCCACCGCTCATACCACCAGATCCACCGCTCATACCACCAGCTCCACCGCTCATTCCACCAGCTCCACCGCTCATTCCACCAGCTCCACCGCTCATACCACCAGATCCACCGCTCATTCCACCAGCTCCACCGCTCATACCACCAGATCCACCGCTCATACCACCAGAATGAGGAGTTCCACCAGTGGGACCGTCACCTGGACACGACAGAAGTGAAGAGTTACATTTATTGTGTGTTGCAGTAGGTTCTAGTAAGAGCCTCTATTGGCACGGAGCCCTGCCTGCACTTCATAGAAAAATAAAAAATAGAATGGTTAGGCCACGTCGCACGAATGTCACCCAGCAAGCCAGCCTAGAGAGCCTATAACACCAAGTATTCAGGCTATATAGGATGAGGTAGCCCACACAAAAGATGGATTGATGGAATCTCCTCTTGATGCTTAAGGGCAGCAGAGGATGTAAAAGTAAAGAGTAAGTAGGTTCTACATGTAAAAGTGAAGGTGCAGAGGATTCACATAGCGTGTATTGTGGGCATGAAATAGTTCAACCCTACATTTGGGGTTATCCTCACGCCAGTCATACAAAAAACTTGCAGAAAGCACTTTCGTGAACTTCACTAAACCATTTGATTTTGTCCGCGGACAATGACTCTCTAAAACGTTTGAGCAGTTAAATTAATTAGCCTCATTTCTTCCTACTTCCTCTTCCTTCGTGCTTTGCGGTATTTAACAGTTTTATAACGTCTGCAAGCTGGTCAAATGTATTAACCCCAGGTAAAATGTTTCAGGAGAGAGGAAAATACAGTAAAACAACTGTTTCATTCTGTGAACTGTACCTATAGCCTGCATTATCCAACGTTTCTTGCTTTCTTATTTTTTTATCATTGTTATAATAATGATTATTATTATTATGATTAATATTATTATTGTTATTATTATTATTATTATTATTATTGTTATTATTATTATTATTATTATTATTATTATTGTTATTATTATCATCATTATTATTATTATTATTATTATTATTATTATTATTATTATTATTATTATTATTATTATTATTACCCTTTGTAACCAACGATTCTCATGATCATGATGATGATTGCAATTTGAATTTGTGTTTATTAAGGGGAACCACTGTAAATGTATAATTTTGACCTTTCTTTTCAAGCTATTGATGGTGGCGATGATGGTGATGATGATGATGAGGATGATGATGATGATGATGATGATGATGATGATGATGATGATGATGATGATGATGATGATGATGATGATGAAGTTGATGATGATGATGATGATGATGACATAAAAGACTATAATATGATAATATATTTTTAGTACACTACCTGCAAGGTATTGTCAGATTCTCAAGAATTTTTTTAACGCTACTTTGCAACAGACAGTCAATGGTGACGATAGTAACGACGACTACGACGACGGAGAAGACGACAATAACAACAAAGAGATCGACGACTGTACAACCACAAACCGCGCTTCTTGAGGTAGCTGGAGAGAACCCTCTTCAGATCAGTGATGTCCTGGTCTCCGCTCATGCCTCCACTCATGCCTCCGCTCATGCCTCCGCTCATGCCTCCGCTCATGCCTCCACTCAAAGCGGGGGCGCCAGTTCCGCTCATACCTCCGCTCATACCTCCGCTCATACCTCCGCTCATACCTCCGCTCATACCTCCACTCATGCCTCCGCTCTTGCGTCCGCCCTGATGAAAGACAAAATTGTAAATTTATCTTTCGTACTCTTATGAGTCTCTGTAGTAACCAGAAAAAACAAGGAAAAAAGGAAAGAGAAAAAGGAGGAATCGTGGGGAAAAGAAAAGAAAGAGAACAAAGAAAAAAGTTTGTGGGGGGGGGGGGGGGGGTTGGTATTTGTTCGGGTTGTTTGGGTTTGGGTTTTTTTGTTGTTAGTGTCAAGGACAAACTAGGTTGGGTGGAATAGAGTGTTCCTCCAGAATGACGGAAATGCTTGACCAATAAATAGATATCCCAATTCGGAAAGCGAGCTCACACCTTCTCCTTTTCAGTGCAACAATGAAGAGCCTTACCATACAGCACCAACCGACGCTTATATAACAATAGTATTCCAATTTTAAGCTGAACCATAAACTTGAATCATAATAATAGACAAAAATCTGGAACTTGTGGACTAAAGCCAACAAGAAACTTATCCTTCACGGGGAGGGATTAAAACGCACTCAGATAGCTATAAATTATATTGACTACATACGCTCTGCCATGGAGTATAAGTTAGGCCTACAGACAATTTGCAGCAAAAAAACTCAGAGGTCTCTTGACAAAATTCAGACCCAATGTGTAAGATTTGTTTCAGGAACTAGGAGATCAACTCTAACTGCAGCTTGCAAAATCCATACGAACCTGGAACCCGTGGACCTGTAGAGAGAGGCATGGAAGATAATACTCGACACAGTCACCGAACTAGAAGAAAAACACCACCTTCCAAATAACAGAGAAATGGTGAAACCCTTCAAATCAGAACTTCCATCAAACCCCAACATCAAGAACCCCAACATCAGACCGTGAAAAAGGAATGTGACGCCGTCGAACTAAAGACCACAGCTCTCGAAATAACTGACTCCTATCAAAGTAATGCAATCCATATTTACACTGATGAGTCAGCCTTCAAGGAAACTATTAATGCAGGCTTTGGAGTAAGAATAGAACATCCTGACAAGACGTGTGAAGAACTGTTTAATTCCAGTGGTACTTTTTGTACAAATGATGAGGCAGAGGCCATCGTCATTGAAGCAACAGTCCCTTATCTGACCAACGCTTTCCTTATACTTCCAGAAAAAAATCAAGGACACTGTAATCTTCATAGACGGAAAATCAGTACTCCAAGTTTTGTAAAAACTGAATTTCGAAAGACCAGCCTGCCTATCTGTGGCTCTAACAATAAACGCCTTCTTGTAGACCAATACCATTGACCTGACGTTACCGGATACTTGGCCACAACAACATCCCAGGAAATGACATAGCAGACACCCTTGCCAAGAAAGGAGCATCATAAACACAACCCCGAAACCCAGTATCACAACAAACAGTTAAGAAAATTATCAAACGCAACACCAGAGAACAGTGGCTGAATGGATGGGCAATGGGCAAAACTGGAAGAACTGTATTTACACACATGGCTGCTCCCAATGTAGAGATGCACTAAATTCCCGGACTAGAAGAGAACAAGACATCCCATTAAATTCCTACCTAAACAGGATTCGTAAAGACATCCCACGTCCCGCTGCCCGCTGTGTGGCAGCCAGGATGAAACAGTTTCACACCACCTCTTTACCTGCCCTGTACTTAGCGACCTGTGCAGTACCCACTTACCTGCCTCCCCAGGTGTCGGAAATACTCTACACAGCCACAAAACGTAGCTGATAAAACCCTGTAAATTCTTTGCCATATCGACAGGCCGAAGGCCTAGAGCTTAGATGGCCGCTGGATCGGAAAAGTAAAAGTAAAGTACAAGTATCCCAGGCCGGATACTGTCATGACTGCCGCCATTTGCTCTCTTTAAAATCTTCGCTGCGCTGATGCGCACCGTCTAGTACGTGCACATACTTTCCCACTTGCTCAATCATTTGCGTCCAAAGAAAGTCAAATGGTACACTCTAGGATGAACCAGAATTACGTCAGAGTGCACAATCTAACAAGATTTTATAATTCAAGTTTATGAGCTGAACATCTTAGGCGTAAACGAATGGTACAGGTTTAACGGAGAGTTCAACTCATGATGAAAATTAGAATTCGGGATCTTTGAATAAACCGTCCATCTACAATAGAAAACAGCCTATTATTTTTTGTTTTGCTTGCATATGAGTATATATATTGTTTTACGACACAATTTGGTCAGTTAGGCGCCAAAATAGAGCCTTCAATATTGGCAGTCATTTCATATGTTATATATTGTTATTTCCTATTTCTTCGCTGGTGTTTTACAACGAACTGTGATTTAAATGTTCGGCTCTTTGTCAAATGGAAAAGATTGTTTATAGAAAATACCCATCTTCTAAGAAGTTGTTGAATCTACCACCACCCCCTACCCCAAAGAAATAAAAATAAAATAAAGGAATTGTTTTTTAAAACCCAGACACGTACGCAGGAGCCGACGCCTTACACTATGTAGATTGTGTTTCCGGGGGGGGGGGAGCTCTACACATTTACCATTGTGTTATTTGTTTTAGCAGTACATTCTGAGATAAGGCCCTGTCTTTTGAACATTCAAAAAGGTGGGTTTGCATATTATAAGACCCTTTTCAGGACTATTTAGGTTCTTTAAGGTCAGCTGTGGCATCCGTTCTATTAATATAAAGGTGCATAAAAATCATAGCTAAACGTAAAGACCTTTTCAATGTATAGCTCGTTCACTTTCGTCTGCCTGCAGTTCAAACGGAATGAAAAACAAATTGCTCGGTTTAATCGTTCTGGCTCTTTGTATGTGGGTCTAAATGTTGAGCGATCAACAGAATCTAAAAGCCCATCCATAGAAGTGCAAACTTAGTGCATACCATTGCAGCGACAAACCACAAGTCTTATAGCAATAGTTCTATATTTGGAAAAGAAGCAAAAGAGGCTCTGGTCCAAAAAGTGGCTTCTCTTTAGGTCTTGTCTAAAAAGAACACTCACACACATCAAATTGCTTCGTGAATTGGTGGAATATTCTTCAGACTATCGGAATTATTTACGAATGGACGAGAGCACGTTTACCAAGTTGCTGCACATCGTGAATCCCTTGATAGAAAAACAGAATAACATGCTGAGTGACACAATTTTGCCCAAATAAGAGATTGACTGCAACATTAATATTCCTTGCAACACGCAGATCATCTGAGGATTTTTTTGGTAATGACGCTGTTCGTAACGACATTTGCGTGAAAGTTTTTCTCGTAACTAACGAGCTCCTCGTATGCTTTGTCTTTGAGTTGTCTGTTGCCGTCCTCTTTGCACTTAATTTTCGAAAAGCACTGATTTTTATGTCAAAAAAAGTCCAAAACATTGTCTCATGACCACGTTGTCATTTTCTTTAATTAAAATACTACTACTCAGGGCGCAGGCCTCCAAGAAATTTCAGGCGAAGACAGAATTCAGACAGGACTTGTTCAGTCCTAGCACAGGCCGGGGATTTGTTTTGATAAGAGCTGGGCAATGAGTCGCTTTAGCAAAATCCGGATAAAATGTTCGGCAAATAATATGATAAGAACCGCTTCGGCAAACGGGTTAGAACCACTTCGACAAACGGGTTAGCATCACTTCAACAAATGGGTGCACCCACTCCGGCAAGCCGGTCAGGAAAGGGAGTTAAGAGTCTGAATTCGGACAATGTTTCATTGATAATTATCCGGGGGCTCTCGTGACGTAGAGGTTAAGGTGTTGGCCTCTCATTCAAAGGTCCCGGCTTCGAATCCAGGTACCGACCGAAAAATGTTCTTCTCTAAAAGTGTCTCCTTTCATCTCCTTTCCTGCTCTCTAGCAATATTCTGTCGTCTGCTTTCGTCTCCTCTTTCTGCCCCCACCCCCTCACCTCATTTGCCCCCTCCTCTGGGCTCCTGACTCTTTCTGCAGCCTTTCTACTGCTACTCCTTGACTCCTTCTTACAGCTGTCTTTCTGCCACACCCCTGATCTTCTGGTAGGAAAGATCTACACCTAGCCTTCTCGGACAAGGGCCAAAAATCTCGGAGGGCCCGTGTGCAAGTTGCGCACATTACAGATCCCTTGGTGGTCTAAAATCGATAACAGTAGGCTTCGGCCGCCACCCGTGCAAAATTCAAAATATCCCACCAATTAAAAGTATCAGGTGTATCCCGCACGCTCATATGATCTTATGCAGTTGCGAGCGCCGTAAAACATGTACCAAAAAAATAATTGTCCGGTTATACCGATAGATTATCCCGATTTTGCCCACCTCTAGTTTTGATTTCGGCCTGCACTTGGCCCGTGCTGGGTCTGTGTGAGGTTTGTGCAGTCCAGTTGAGGCCGGGCCTCGAGGACAGACTGTGTCGTGAGTGGCTGCCATAAGTCATTTATTTTAGTGATCCCGTGTATGCATCCAAAGAGCGGTTTTTAAAAGAGGGCCCAAAGAGAAAAACTGTTTTATTACTGAATCAAGATTTTTTTATTTTTTTTAAATTGGGGGGTTGCTGGCCAGCAAAAGTGCCATGCAAAGTTTCGTGGACACAGGTAAATTCCTCTATGAGCTAGATTTTTTAACGCGGTCAGACGAAAGTGAACAAGCTATAACAATATTAGGTTTTCTGTATTATGAGTAACTCAGGCGCGGTTCGTCCATAGAGCACGGTCGTGCAGTGCCGCCCAAAATGTTTTAATGTTCTATGACGTAAAGCACGCACAATAATAAAATAAAAGACACCTCAAACAAACACTAGCCAGGTATTACATCAAAACAAGGCCCTCGCTGGCGCGTAACTGTCATTTCTATTCTATAGCGCCGTAAAACATCTACTATGCCATGCCTAAGTTCATGCACTGTATCTAAACATAACAGGATAGTCAACAGTGGAAACCTGACCCATAAATCGCTCTTTGAGATAACTCACGCGGTGACGACACTTGTAGTGAGTTTGGGTGTACATTATAATAAGACTGCACATCTCAAATGTGCTCCTGCCGAATAGCACCGAAACATAGCCCACAGTAGGCA